GTAGAAAACCCCAATATTGTCTCTTGGGTTCAATTCGACCGCATAGAGGGTTCAATTTTGTACAAGGACAACCCTCTCGCGACATACTCTGTCAAGCCATTTGACTTGGGATTGAAGGAACAAAGATTGATGCATGTGAAGATAATCAGCCGGCGATGAAGGTGTCGGATTTTGAAGAATATAATAGGCAACAAGAAGATATTGCTGTGAGTTTGAAGATGGAAATGTTTGCATGGGCTACGTATAAGAAGGGTTGGTGGGGAACAGAAGATGTCATGATGGAGGCTCACTGTTTGGATTTTCGGGTTGGTTTCTTGCCTAAAGTTGGGTTCGGTAGCTGGATCAGTGAAGGGCCGACGACTTGCTCGACTGGTTCGTATGCTAGTTGATTAAATCGGAAAGTTGTTGAATTTTTTTTTTTTTTGGGCAGGACTAGGGTTTTGTGAGAATCCTTATTCTTAAAAATGTTAATACTTTATTTTGGTAAGTATTAAATTATAATTATAATTATTTTATGAAAGTCTATGTTTTATTTAATGCAAATTCAATAATTTTGATGATATTTTTAAAACATGCTTTTAATATTAATTTTATTTAATGAGGTTGTATAGGATTGGAGGAATTAGGAACTAACTTAATTGCACAGCTAGACCACCGCATTAATATAACTTGGATGGTAAGTATTGTAAACCGCCAAACACCATCAAATAGGAAGGGAGTCACTGCCGACATACTCCTTGTATATATATAGAACATTAAGTTGCACAACAAGTGCAAAAAAAGAAAACGAGAAAGAAATATTGGTAGAGAGAAAAAGAAAGAGAGAGAGTGGTAATAATATTCTTGGAGGAGTTAGAGGTTGGAGCTTGTGTTTTCTTAACTTGGAGTTAGCTTTGGAAATAAGGTAGGGGTTTCTTGGGGGGCCTTTTACGAAGATTGATTTAATTAAATTTCGTAAGCTCTATATTATGGATATTTACGTTCCTTGTATTGGATATTTACGTACCCTTAACTATTTGAACAATGTGGGCATAATTATATGTGCATTGGTGATATTTTAAATGGCTACATTGTTGTGAAGGGCATAATTATATCATGTCATGGCAATTGGTTGGAGTTGTTGGGTGGAGAAGATAATAATGGAAAAAAGGGTAATGAATATAGTCTTTTGTGTAATTGAGTCTAACTCTTGGCAGGTACCAAGTCTCAGGGATCCCACAATGCACAAGGTTTTATTGGGTGATTCGGGACTGGCGAAAGGGAGTTAGACAAGATGATTAACAAAATAGGAATTATGGGACAATTGAAATGAGTGTTAGTTCATATAAATGGGCATTCGGGACCAAATGGTAAAAGCATGGTATGGGACGTGCAGGTCTGCTTGTCCAATTATATGAATTAACGGGATTAGATGAAGAGCATTCATGCATTGTTACTAATAATGTGAAATTTGGCTGCTTGATTATTTATCACTTAATTTAGTTATATCAATTTATCGTAAAAAGGCTTATGTCCCTACTGAGCTATGGTTTCGCTCACCCCCTAATAGATTTTGCAGGTACCGAACCCGAAATCTAGAGCTTGTGATGATTTTTTTTGGCATGTCTATAGAGTGTATTATAGTTTATAGATGAGTAAGGAGCTACTCTTTTAGTGAACTCTCGAGTAGTTCTGACTTGTAAAATAATGTAAAATTTTTATGGTTTCAGATGTTATCGTTTCCGCGTTTCTGCAGAATATTTTATGTGAAATATTTATTTTATTTATTTAAATGTTTTCTTCACATTTTAGTTATAGTTTTTATTAAATTCTATAATTAAGGTGTGAATCACGTTTTAACCCAAGGTTTTGTAAATCCAAGGGTTGGGGTGTGACAGGTTTTTCGTCTGTAATTTGATGGATGTAGATGAAGCTTGTAAATTATAAACAAGGAAGAACTTGTCTTTTCTTCTCAAGGGAATGCATGCATCAAAATTGGAGACAATGTGAACATTCTTTTTTATCTTTATCCTTGTGTAAATTGAAAAGGATTTCACAATTACAAAACCTTCCACTATTCGTTATTGTGGCTATATTTTTAATCAAATCATAAGAAAAAAAATTCACCACACACAAATGAAGTAAACATATATAAGATCTCTAGAATGATGTATACTTCCGTGTTTTGAGAATATATTATGTATGAAATTCCTTTTGACTTCGACCTTTTACTTTCACATTGACTTTGACTAAGCCACAAAATCATTCTGTCTCTTCTTAATTTCCCAATCGATTCCTTTTCGGTATGCAATCTTATAGGTTCTAATTAATGAGGCAGTGGGTATGAATGATTCACTCTGAATCAAGTGTGAATCTTATCCTTATAAAATTCTTCCTGTTGGCGAAGGCTAATTATAATTATTCCTTACAGGGCTTCCACAAGTCATGAGTGACACCTAGCAGTATGTCATGGCTACCCTAGCTAAAAAGAATTCATTTAGAGAACCTGGTCAGTTTGTGATTACAATGCAATTTGATCCTTCTCTAATTCAATATTCTATGTCATATTCAACTCGTGTCAAAATCCCTAATATGACATCTCTAGATTACATGATTCAATTTGATGAAATTGCAAATGTTCTTGTTTCAATTTCCATCCAATACTTTGGCCAAAGATTCACAAATCATATCTTTAGAGTATTCTCTCTTCTTACTAAGAGTCAATTACTTACCCATTTTGGATTTATGTTTTAATTAGGTTTTTCTTTAATCTTGGGCTGCTGAAAAAGCCCAGCTAGGGTAGGAATAGACGTGGGGGTGTTTTATTTAAGCATGAAAAACAACTCCCTGAGGGAGAGGCAAAGACAAGGAGAAATTGGAGACACCGGAAGAGTACCGCTATTGGCTAAGTTTGATTGTTTCTTTCTTATATTTTTGCTTATGTCGAATTCTATGTTTATGTGTAACTAATTTTCTCTTGCTAGGGCATGATGTAGCCCTAGTATGATAATCTAGTTTTCTTATTTTACCTATCTATTGATTGCCATTTGATGTTGGATTCTTAATCACTGTGCTTAATAACTTGGTTTCTTATCTTGATGTTTGATCACCATCTAGACTTGTAATTGAGTTAATCGGATGCAAATTAGAGTAAATACCATACTTAATTTGAGGCTTGCTTCTTGTGATTAGGATTTGTA